GGAGCGCTGGCGCTGCCTGGACGCCGCGGGGTCCCCCTCTGCACGGGGCACTCGGCGCGGGGGTCTGCGCGTCCAGCTCTTTGCTTCCGATGTCGCCACCCGGCTGCTGATCGCCCTAGCTCCTTCCCGCATCGGTGTGAGGCCACCGGGGTCCCTGTAGAGGCAGGAAGCTCCCTTCGCGAAGCGGGAGTAAGTAAGCGTGCGGCCCCGGCGCGGGTGGGGAGGCGGGAATTGGGGGCAAGGGAACCCCTCCCGCCCCGGCTGCCACCCCTCCTCCGGCTGGAGGTGGATCAGGGTGTTTCTGCCACGAGACCAGGCGCGCAGGGTTGTGCCAGGACCAGCTCTACCTGCGGCCAGGCGGTAGAGGGGATTTGCCCATCTCCGCGATTTGGGGGGTTTCATTGGAAGAGTTTATTTTGGGGGTCTGCTTGGAGGCCTGGGGAGGGCTTGCACTGAGCGCTGAGTGGGTTTGGTCAACGATCAGGTTTCCTTCCCCCATGATTCAAACCCCTTCAACGCCGAATTCCTCCCAGTTCTTTGCGCCAAAATTAACTGACCTGGGAGACCCTGTACTTTCTGACAGATTTGCCCTACACCTTCCTGACTTGGTAACTTTATTTTACCCTGTTGTTTTCCATAAAGAATTCCTATACTTGTAGGGTTTTTTTTTTTCTTCCTAGATTTTCAGTATTACTAACCACGCTTTAGGTATTTGTGTTTGTTCATGTGAGTTTCAGAAAGCTGGAAGGTGACCACTCCTGAAAATTCCCAGGTAGTGTTTAGGGAAGGGGAAGTTCATGTTCACCAACAAGTCATAAACACGTAGATGTTTTTATTGGGGGAAAAAAAATCTAATTGTAAAATTGTTTTCTAATGTCGTTGTGCATTACAGATGGAAGTAAATTGTTTAACACTAAAAGACCTGATCAACCCCAGGCAGCCCAGACTAGATTTTGCAATTGATGATGGGGAAAATGCACAAAAGGTAAGCACCCATAACTACCTTAATCTCTTAACACAGAATGGATGGTGATGTCTAATTCTATTTAGTATTCCAGCATGCCACATGTATTTGTCTTAGAAACATCACGATTCATTTTGATAAATATTATAGAAACATGCTTTTTAAAAATTGGAGTCTTCCGAGCCATTATTGTTGCTATTCTACTCTCAGTCACAGTGCAATGAAAAAAAAGGCTAGGTTAATGTAAAGTTGTAACCAGTTTATACAAATCAAAGATATGCTGGACACAGCAATCAAGTTTGTAATACAGTTGTCAAGGGAGGTTTAGCTAATGCTCTTTAGGAATGTTAAGCCTCAGTTCCCAGGAAAATAGACTCTTGTAGTTATAAACGCTGGATTATTAAAATGCTGTGAAATGTCTTCATACCAGTGAACCAGTTCCTAGAAGCTGTTCCATTCACTCAACAGTATGACCTGCACCCTACTCTGAATATTTTACAGTGCTCCTCCTTAGTTTTGCACTGAACCTTTCCCTGCCTTTTTTGCATCCCTTGTAGCAAAGACCAAGGTGGTGTCTTCAAGAAACATTATAAAGTAAACTGGCCATAACCATGTCTAAACTACCTTAGCATTTTAAAGCAGTGGCTGATAGATATAACAAACCCAGTATTAGAAACTTTGAATATAAATCTGTGAGCAGCAATTTCCTTGGGCATTGCAATTCTCTGAGCTCCTGATCTTATTTTTAGGCTTAGAATTGATAATGAAACTGCGTGGTTGCAAAACACCTGCTTTATGCACCCTTGAAGAATACTTGATGATTGTTAATTTTGGATAGGTATAAAACTATGCTTTTCCAAGGGTTTTTTTTCCAGAATTTTGATTTATTTGTGTTAAGAAGGAAAAGAAGTAGAGTGGTCGCCCTTATCCATGGGGGATATGTTCCAAGATGCCCAGTGGATGCCTGAAACTGTGGATAGTAGTGAACCCAATTGCCCATAAATCAGAACGTAGTTCATGCCTTCCCCTCCACAAATGTAATACCTTTTCCATCTTAACTTAGAACTTCTCATACACTATGGCTGAAACTATTGCAGTTTGAGGTACGACGGCAAAACTTGCATGAAGTTCTATTTTATTCTTAACAATTACACAGATAGGAGATTCATTCTTAGAGTAGATCTTAGCAACCTGAGCATACAATTTTTCTTCTTTCCTTGGGTCAAAAACTGTCACCTTTTCACTTTTAAAGGAAGCACTTTTCTCTTTGTCATATCCAAATTGCCAGCATCATTACTTTTATGTGTTAGAGCCGTTATGAAGTCTAATGAGGGTTACTTGAGTCACATCAGTTTTTCTCCACACCTGTTAGAATGTGAAAGCTCAACTGGACACAGCACTTACTGATGCTGTGAGGCCATGATAGTCTGATAACCAATACAGCTACTCAGTGGCTGATGCGCAGGTAGCAGCTACAGTGTGGACACACCAGTCAAAGGGATGGTTCACGTCCTGGACAGGATGGAGTGGGATGGCACAAGATTTCACTACACTACTCAGAATGACACACAATATAAAACTCATAAATTGTTTATTTGTGGAGTTTTTCATTTCATATTTTTGCACCACAGGTGACTTAAACCCCAGAAAGTGAAACCACAGATATAGGGATGACTACTATACACCAAAGCATTATTATTTTGAAGATGACTTTTTAAAAAATTACCTAAGCCGAGCTCGGTGGCTCAGCCTGTAATCCCGCGCCTTTGGGAGGCTGAGGTGAGTGGATTGCCTGAGCCCGCGGGTTCGAGACCCGCCTGGGCAGCGAGACCTCATCTCTACAATAAATCAAAAAATCAGCCGGGCGTGGTAGCGCACGCCCGTAATTCCGGCTACTCGGAAGGCTGAGGTGGAAGGATCACCAGAGCCCAGCAGGTCAAGGCTGCGGTGGCCGGGAGCGGCCACTGCACTCCAGTCTGGGCGACAGAGTGAGACTCCAACTCAAAAAAAAAAAAAAAATTACATAAGCCACATGAGGGTAGAAATGCCCAGACTTAAAGTATATACGAGAAGAGACCCAAAAAACCCAGAATTTATTTATTAAAAATTGTGTATTCATTCTTACATATTTAAACTTCAGTCACCTTCAAAGCACACTGCTTGATGCAATATGCCTGTCGAGATGCTTTTTCCACTGCTCAAAATAGTTTTTGAATTTGTCAGTTTTGACACCTTTTAGTGCTTCTGCCGTTTTTTGTTTCACCTCTTCCACATGGGCAAAAAATTTCCCTTTGAGAATTTTTCATCTGATAAAACAAGTCACTCGGAGCAAGATTAGGTGAGGGTGGGGTATGGGGGTCATGATGTTTTTGGTCGAAAACTGCTGAACATTCGGTGTGGGCAGGTGTGCTCATAAATCACCCATTATAAAGTGGGTAAATGCGTTGAAAGAATCTTAAAAAAAAAAACTCACTGAAGCTGAATACAACTGCTCACAACAATGCTAGCTAGTATACTGATACCAATGGGTTCCTAGAATACTTATCTAGCAAGGGAAACCTGTACTACAAGAGTCCTGCTCTCCAAAAAATATTCTGTGTTTTTTTGGGTTCTCCCTTGTATTCTGAGTTTTGGCTTTGAGAGTATCAGAGCAAAACTTTGTTTTTCCCTTCTAACTTAGAATATTCAGCCTTGAAAGAAAGTGTATACATACATTTATATAAAGTCAAGTTCAGTGCACCACATGTAGTCTTTTTGGGTCAGTGATTTTCATCAAGTGCCTTCAACAAGGTCCCTTCTTCAGCATCAGTCAGTGACATGTCAGGTGAGCCTTCACATTCTAATGGGTATGGAGAAAAACTGAGTGACTCAAAAGAGTTTGTGGAAGTGGTTTAAATGTTTGAAATAGAATATATGAGCAGAGATTATGTGACCTCACAGAGAAGGCAAGAGACAAGAACAGAGTGCTTCAGCAGGGATACTAGGAGGGGTGTTTCTCTCTTTTTTATGTTGCTATGAAGTAAAGGAGGCTTTCTAGAGATGGTGAGAACATGAGGTTTGAAGCCACAGGGTGCAGGCTTTGATTTCCTGCTCTGCCATTTATTAGCTAGGTGACCATGAACAAATATATTTATAAGGTTTTTCAACAAATATTGATGTTCCAGATGCTAGGGATATAGTGATTTAATGAGTCTGCTGACCTTACTAAGCCTATGTCTTCTTCCATAAATTAGATTTAATATATAGCACCTCCCCCATTGGGTTTTTGTAAAGTGCCCATCAGCACAAACTCTTCACACTGTGCTGAATCCAACTCACAGCCCAAAGATTACAAAAACATTATTATGTGACGCAGGTTCTGCCCTCCATTACCTGAGAGTTTCCAGGACCCAAACGTAAAACTAGCCAACTGTACTATGATTTGGTTAAGTGCCATAACAGCAGTGGGAACAAAGTGCTTGGGCAGAACGGAGGAGGAAGAAATAAATTCATGGGGAGTCCAGAGAGCACTAAAAGGCTTCACAGACAAGAGAGCATTTGACTTAAGCCTTCATGGATGAGAACAGATCAACCTACAAGAAAACAAGAGTGAGCCAATGGACATTTTAGGCAGAAGGAGCAGCATGAGGTGAGGGCAAAGAATGTTCAAAAAATCTAGAGTGGCCAGAAGCTAGTGTTGCTGAGTTATTCCTTCTTGAAATTTCTCTGGGGGTACCTGGAGTGATGTTCTGCTGGATCAGTGGTCATTTAGAAGATTTCTTTTTTGACTGCACATTGGTCAAGATCTATAAGTACTGTATTAGGTATGCATCTTCTTACCACTTTGTGGAGAAATATTTAGACAAAGTTTTGAAATGCATTACCCAGTTTGACTGTGCCCAGTTGTGGGGTCATAAACAAGTCTGTTCCCTTTGGATAGTTTGGGGTAAAGAGGTGAAGGCTAAGGATTAAGCTGTTGGGAGGCTTTTGTGAAGGGGCTGATACTTGAACTAGGGCTGGAAGGAGGAATGACAAGGCTCAGGCAAGTCAAGAGGAAGGGAGCAATGGAGAAATAGAAATGAGCGGGGCATATTTGGGGACAGTGCCCAGACTTAGTGGACACAGCCTTTCTTTGAAGGTCATTCATCTCTTTTAGGAGTGGGTGAGAAGGAATGTGAGTTTAGTTTGGAATGTATTTGTACCTGTGTGGTTTACAGGTAAATAAATATTTGCAGGAAGCAGTGGGTGACTTGATTTTGGAAGTCGTGAAAGATCCTAGCCAGATACAAACTCGGGAATTAACAGCATACAGGTTGATTTTTAAAGCCATATAAAGGAGATGGGATAAACTCTTACAAAAAGTGAATATTGAGAGAGGGTAAGAGGGCTGTGTGTGTACTTCTGTGGTTTGTAGGAGTGGAAATAAAGGAACCAGTGAAGGAGACTGAGAAGGCACAGTCTCAGAAGTAATGAAGTAATGAAGAGAGCCAGGAGAGCAAGAGTGGGATCGCAGAAGCTAAGGGCTGCGAGTTTTTTAGAGCAAAGAATAGTCGACAGTCTTAGCCACTGCAGTGAGGGCAATGAAGACATTTTGCCACTGATTTGATTTGGTGACTGGGAAGTGACCTAAAAGAAAACAGTGGATCAGAAGAGACTGGTGGTTTGAGGAACCCCTTGGAGGCAGGCAGGGAAGCCATCAATTTGTATTATTTCTTTTAGAAATCGTGCTCTGGAAGGAAGGAGAGCTGTTGGTCAATAGCAAAAGGAGACACTTCCTCCCATGTAGTCTTTGTGATGAGCCTTGAACATTAGGTAGGATTTCAACAAACAAAACTATTAAGGAGAAAGTGATGGTGTGAGCAGCAGCTGAACTGTGGTGAGGTATAGGGCAGCTTTGAAGAGAAGCGAGTGGACTGTTGGGTAGGATAAGCATTAAAGGGAAGTGGAAAAGATGTCAGCCAAGAGCCTTGACAAGGCTAATGACAGTATATATTATTTGAGGTCACATGATCAAAGCCGTATCTGAGACAGGACTAGAACTAGATCTTTTAACCACCAAGCCTGTTCTGTGACAGCATAGGCCAGTTTGCCTATAGTCATAGGGCTGGTCTTATTAGTAATCATAATGAATGTTTGTATAGCACTTCACAGATGATGGAGTGCTTTCACCTTTGTTATCTGAGCTGATCCTCACAGCAACTCTCTGGCAGGTAAGACAAGGTGTATTACCCCTATTTACAGATGAGAACTGGAGGACCTTTCATGGGTTACATTTCTCTAGGATCTCTAAAAGAGAATGTGATTTCCAGGGTGTTATGGGTTAGATTTTCTGACAAGCAGATCTACTAGAGTTCAAGTGTACAGGAGTTTATTAGGAAGTGCTCTTGGGATCAATGCCTGGGGAAGAGAAAACACACAGAACTGGACAAAAGGAGAAGTAGAACTATAATACAGTCACGGTGGAAGTCTCAGTTACCCCACGGGGAGTTCTGGGATAACCCCTTGGAGTAGTCCTGAGTTGGGGCAAAGATGCCAGGCTTTTACATGTCGGTGTTACTCCTACTAGCCAGTGAGCATGAGATAGGCCTTCTAGGAAGGGAGGGATGTGATCCTGGATGAGTCAGCCTTCTTCTGCCAAGGCAGTTAAGAGCTGACTGTTGCCGTTACTTCCAGCAGCAGCTGGAGGAATGAGTCATTCATTTAGGAAGAGATCTGGGTACATCCCAGTATCCACTAACAGCTAAGCAGCCTTACTAGAAAACCTTGGAGATAGATAATTTAGTCTAAATTCCTTATTTTATGCATACAGAAAAAGACCCAGACAGAATGAACAATTTGTCCAGGATCAAAAAGGTACAGGCCATTATTTGCATTTCTTCTAGAAAGTGTGCTCTGGAAGGAAGAAGAGCTGTTGGTCAATAGCAAAAGGAGACACTTCCTATCATGTAGTCTTTGTGATGAGCCTTGAATAATAGGTAGGACTTCAATAGACAAAGCTCCGCCAGTGGCATTAAGGAGAAAGTGATGGTGTGAGTGGCTCACGCCTGTAATCCCAACACTTTGGGAGGCCAAGGCAGGAGGATTGCTTGAGCCCCGGAGTTCAAGACCAGCCTAGGCAACATAGTGAGACCTTGTCTCTACAAAAAAAATGAAAAATTTAGCCAGGCATGTTAATGCACATCTGTAGTCCCAGTATTCGGGAGGTGAAGGTGGGAGGATCACCTGAGTCCAGGAGGTCAAGGCTGCAGTGAGCCATGATCATGCCACTGCACTCCTGCCTGGGCAACAGAGTGAGACCTCAACTCAAAAAAAAAAATTGCAAACAGCTGAGACACAAATTAGGTGTCTGAATTCCCATTTCGATTTCCTTCCCGCTGCCCTATATACTATCAGGATAGCAGTATCGATAGACAGATGGATTAAGCAGGGCATGAATAGGTTGCATTTGACTCTCTGCCCACCTGAAACCTTAGAAAACAATTGGCTTGGCATTTTTTTCTCTCCATGTAGTGGTGTAATACCATCATAACCTGCCATGTGACCTAACTGCCCTCCTACATTAAGTATTCATTAAACTACAGTGAAAATACAGCAAAGTGTGTGCAGAAGTAATCCATCCTGGCTTGCTCCCTCGCTAGGGAAAAAGTAAGAACTCATCATTCCGGTGAGGACAGGCACCAGGCAAGCAATAGAGAAGGCGAGTCTATCTCTGTCCACGCAGTGTGCCTGGACCATACCCACTACCGCTGCTGTGAAGAAGTCCTAACAACTCGATAATCAAGGCACGGTGTTCTTTGAGCACCTGTAATGAGAAGGCGTTGGTCCAAAACCTGTGAGGAATAAGACGTGAGGAACTTGCTCCCTGACCTCCCCAAGTGCACAGACTCATTACGGAGACAAGATACACAGTACTTGAGCTCGAAGTGCCGTAGTGAATGGTACTAAAGAGTGGGAGAGAGAGAAAAGAGAATAGCTATGCTTTACTGAGTGCTCACTGTATGCCTGGAACTGTTCTCATAACCCTTGAGACTAGTATTTTTATTAACTTCATTTTCAGTTGAGAGAAATCAAGTATAATGAGATACAGGAACTTGTTATGCTCCCACTGTGGATAAGCTGCAGAGGCAGGTCAGCCGACCCTAGATCCTGTGTGCATAACTGCTTCCCTGCTTCTCCCTAGTTGCTAGTGGGGATCAGTGGCCTGCTGGGTTCCTGTGATTGGAACTGTGAAAAAGATAAACTTCTTCCCATTTTGTACCCAGGACAAGATCATTTTTAGATGTAGTGTTTCAGAGACTTCTGCTTTCCATTGTTTCTTGCATATCAATGATTTTTACACTGAATGAGGTTGTACGTGACCTCAGGCAAGTTATTTGACCTCTCTATGCCTCAGTTTCTTCATCTATATGATAGAAAAGTAATAGTACCTGTGTCACAGGATTGGATGAGGAGTTGATCCAAGCAAAAGACATGAAACAGGGCGTGGCACATAAACGCTCAGTCATTTCCCTGGAGAGTTCACTTGTAGAAGCCTTCATCAGAATGGCACACTAGCAGGACTTGTTCAAAGAGATGGGTCGACGCAGCTTTCTGAGCTGGGTGTTGACTGCTGCTGTGACATGAGAAATCACCACTCCCACTCACTCCTCTCCCTCCTGTTACTCGGGACAGGATGTTGCCATGGCTAACTTGCAGCTTTTGCTAACCCAAGAAACAAGAGTTGCTCTGCTTATACAGACTGCAATTTCACCCAAACAATCTTCACATGCTGCTTATTTACACTTTTTGTAAACCACTGCCCCACCAGAATCCAAGCAGGGGGAGCTATGGAGTGATACTTGTACAGGAGGAGTGACAAATACTTAACTCATCCACCTTTGTTATTATGTAAGAGACTATTGACTGCAAGTGAATCCTTCTGTTTTTGAATCTTGAATTGTTATTGAGCATTTTAAAACTTATTTTAGGGGAAAGATGCTTGTTTTAATTACTTGGTAGTTCCAAATGCTGATTCCATATACTTAGTCTTTTTTCATGACAGGCCCATCATTAATCTTATAATTATCTAAGACTGTCTACCTCAAAGTATGGTCTAGGGGCAGATTCATAAACTTAGCAGCCTACAAAAAAATTAAGAACAGAACTTGAGAGTTAAGCACTTAGAAACCTAAATAACAATTTGATATTGCCACCAGGACATCTAAGCCTGTGACCAAAAAGAGTGGTCTCTTTTTGTTGAATAAGCTATATTGTAGGTCAGTTTGAATGACAAACTCAAATGGCAAACCACATCTGGTGGGAGTTCTATATTAGTCCTATAAAGTAAAATCACATATCAGTATGTGAGAGTTTGGAAATGAAAATTTAAAAAAAAACTAGCCCTTTACCATGGAAAGTTTGACAAGCAATGCTTTAGGAGAATAACATGAAATAGCTCTCTAGGTTGGCTTACAAGGGGGTCTTTTATTGGATGCTCTTCCCTTAACTGGTCCTGTTACTAATTGCTATACTAGCACTAGTTAACATTGAACTATAAAAGCATAATTGCTTTTCACTAGTTAATGCAAACTTGTAAATAGTGGTTTAAAAAAAGATGGCACTTAGAGGCAATATGGATTCAACCCACTTTGGGGCAATATAGACTCAACTCACTATTACAAGTGAGTGACAGATACCTTTGTGACCTTTCTTACAGAGATGCAATGAAAAGTATGTTTAGAAGGAGTAGAAGATTATAATCTATTTCTCTTTGGAACTACTCTTCAATTCTCATAAAGCCTTCTGTCTAATTTTCATTAGTCCTATCCTGATATGTTTCAGCCCTAAACATATGGTCCTATTTGTATTTTCAAGTCTTAGTGGATGATGGGAACATAATGTACTCTTAGCTGACACCGGGTCTCTTTTTTAAAATAGGAAAATATATTTTTTGATCGATCAAGGATGGCCCCGAAGACTCCAATAAAAAATGAACCGATTGATTTATCGAAACAAAAAATCTTCACTCCGGAAAGAAATCCCATTACTCCAGTTAAGCTCATTGACAGACAGCAAGCAGAACCATGGACCCCCACAGCTAACCTGAAGATGCTCATTAGTGCTGCCAGCCCAGACATAAGAGACCGGGAGAAGAAAAAGGGACTGTTCAGACCCATTGAAAACAAGGATGACGCATTTACAGACTCGCTGCAGGTACACAGGTGGCACTCCTCAGGGACTGTATAGAACTTAAACGATTTTACTTGATTATTAAAAAGTCAAAGAATTCTTAAATTTTCAGCTCCTATGGGGCCAAAACTAGTATCAAACTGAATATCTTATTTATGTCAGAATTCTCACTCTGTATCTTATTTTTCATAATGAATGCTTCTCTGTATGGTACTTCCTGGTCCAGAACATGTTTTTAAAATGATACATTTGTAAAGTAATGTATTTAATCATTTTGATTTAATGAGAAATTTTGATTTTTTAAAATGCTGCTGTGAATTTAAATTTTGTTCAGATTTTAAAGGTAATATTAATCTAAATTTTTCAACTTGGGAAATTCCATTATCCTCACATATGTATGTTCAGTTTGTTGACTGGCTTTATTAAAGTTAAGCCATCTTTAAACTGCTTGATCTATGGGGAACCAGCTAAATAAGCAGCATGTCTATACTTTTTTTAAAAATTATTTATTTATTATTTTTTGTAGAGACAGGGTCTCTCTAGATTGCCCGAGCTGGTCTTGAATTCCTGGCCTCAAGTGATCCTCTCACCTTGGCCTCTCACAACACTGGGATTGCAAGCATGAGCCACCATGCCCAGCCATCTTTTTAAAAAGCTCAATGTTCAATCATTTTTATTGTCCCATCAAACTTTTTCCCAGACTTGCTAAGTATTCTTAGCCATTTTTTCTCCTTTTGGTGGATTTTTTTAAGCTATAAAAATTGTCAAAATGAAGAAATTGGGAAGAGAGAGGAGAAAAAGATGTCTCGAATTACAACTTTAAATTAATAGATCAAAATGAGTTTAATCTGTTATATATATCATTACATTAATAAAACTAATAGATTTTTTCATGTAAATACAAATCAGACAGTTTTGAGAGTAGTTCCTACATGGTTATAGCCAGAAAATTTTCACCATTCCTTTTTTAAGTCTGGGCTGTTTTGTGGCTTCCTTTCCATTCTGTATTCCATACGGAAAGTGCAAGGAGCCTGGTTTCAGAGGCCTTGGGTTCAAATCACTGCTGGATGACGAGGGGAATCTCTTAGGGTCTCTGTTCTTCAGTTTACTAATCTGTAAATGGGACCTTCCCTAGTTTTATTAGAGTTCTAACAACTAAATAAGATTAAGTGTGCTTTTTGCTGTCAAAAGCATATAAACATTAGAGTTTAAACACATTTTTTGGCAAAAATAAAGCAATGTGAAAATCCCACAATGGGAATTGTTAGTGACCTCTTTCACAAGGTAATGTTACTATGTCTTTCTTTGGTAGAACTAGTTGTTTAACATGCCCCTAAAACAATTAAATTTTTTATTTTCTTCCCAATCTTTATAAGGAAATTTTAACTAATAAGTACCTAGAGTGTTCATTACTACTAAGAAATGCATAAAATTTGAGCAACCTTAAAACAGACTTTGAATATCTTTCTGAAACTGGTCTTTATTATTTTTTGATAGACTATCTGATTGTATAAAATACACTTATCTGAAGCAATACCTTTAACACCCATGAATCTACCTCTCAGCCCCTAAACAGGTATCCCCCAAACAGGTATCATACTATTAATTTACATCTGCCCCCTGCCACATACACACACAGAGTAACCCCTCTCCTGAATTTGTATTTCTTATTTCTTTGCCATTTTTAAATCGTCCTATCACATGTGTAATGAGCATACATCCTTAAGATTCATTTGTGTTTTTGCATGTAGCTGTAGGTCTTTCATTTTCATTGTTGTACAACATTGTATTACATGAATACATCATATTTTATTTACCCGTGATTCTGTTTAAGTTCTTTGGTTGTGTGCAATTTAGGGCTAATATGACCTCTGCTATAATAATCTTATTTATGACTCCTGATGTACACATACAAGACTTAACCTAGGGCAGTGGTTCTCAAAGTGCCATCTGGGGACCCCAGTGTCAACAGAGGATCTATCAGAGGGTCAAGGAGGTCACAACTATTTTCATAATAATACGAAGACATTGCCCATTTGAATGCTTATTCTCTCCCAAGTGTATACTGGAGTCTTCTAGGAACTACGTAATGTGGATATTGCCACAGATTGAATACAAAGGTAAACAGGAGAATCCAGTTTTCTTCTATTAATCCAGACACTAAAGAGATTAGAAAAAAAATACATAAAGCACTGACCCTTTTCTCACAAAATATTTTAACCACTCAGTATTAATTCCTAATATGATAACTGTCAGTAGATAATACCATGTAAACAAAGAGCTCTGTGGGATCCTCAGTAATTTTTGAAAATATAAAGTGATCCTCTGAGCAAAAAGTTTGAGAACTACTGTTTGAGAACTACTGTTGAGAACCACTAGTAAGTTTAAATTCTACTAGTAGAATTTCTAGGTCACTGGATATGCAAATATTCGCAAACTAGTGCCACATTGATGCTATGTGCTTCCATCAGTAAAGTATAAACATCTATTGACTCACATCCTCTCTGACACTGAAACTGTCAAACGTTAATTCCTGCCAACCTAGTGACTACACGCTGTATCTTGTGGTATTCATTTGCTTTTCCTTGATTACTCATAAAATTATGCTTCTTTCCACATGTTTACTGGCCACCATGTTTTTCCCTCTTTTGTGAAGTACCTGCTTATGTTCTTTGTTGATTTTTATTGAGTTAAAATTTTTCATATTGATTTTTGGGGTTGATTGTAGCCTTTCAGTTTAGTAGTTGTCTTTTCTATGCCTTTCTGTGTCTTTTCTATACTGTTTTTTGATGGACAAACGTTCTTAAGTTTAACATAGTCCAGAATGTTCATCCTTTCTTTTAAGAGTAGTGTTTTTTGTGTTTGTTTAAAGAAATTCTTCTTTATCCTAAATAGAAGGGGGAGATATTCTCTGTATTTTCTTCATTTAAAAATTTGCTTCATATATGTTTAAATTCTTAGTCCTTTTTAAATTGCTTTTTTTAAGTCAGGAATACAACTTTGTTTTGCTATATGTAAAATCAGTTGTCCCTGCTCTTCCTCCTCCCTCTGCTGTCATATGTCAGAGTTCCTTTTATATGTATGTCTGTTTTCCGTGCTGTTGGCCAATTAGTCCATCCCTACCCCATTACCCCACTGTAACAAGCCTTGATATCAGGTAAAGCAGTGCTCTCAACTTATTTTTCTTCAGGTTGTGTGGGCTATTCTTGGCTCTTTGTTCTTCCATATATACTTTAGATGGGAAACTTAATTGGAATTGCATTGAATCTGTAGATTAATTTGAGAAGAATTAACCTCTTTATGGTATGGAGTCTTCCTATCTATGACTAGTATATTTTGCTGAGTTTAAAGTATTAAGATCTAAGTTTTAGTATTTTATGCAAATAGATTTTTTTGCTAGATTTAGTCATAAAACCTTACCATATTGCTTTTGTAAATGAAGTATTTTCAATTCATTTGCTTTTACTATTGTATAGGAGTGCAGCTGCTTTTTAAAATATATTATCTTGTGTTCAACTATCTTGCTCATTCTCTTTTTTTTTTAATAATCTGTCTGAGATTCTTTTGATTTCTTACATGAACAATGTATCTTCCTCAGAATGAAAGTTTGTTTATTCCTTGCCAGTTTTTGTGCCTCAATTTATTTTTTTTTGTCCTCTTGCACTGTCTAGTATTTCAAATATGATATAAAAGAGGAGAAGGTATAATGGGCATCCTTATCATTTTCCTGATTTTAAGGAAATGTTTCCAAGATTTTCCTATTAAGACAGATGTTTGCTCTTATGTTTTCATGAAAATAGTTTATTGAAGAAGTTCTCTCTTATTCCTGGCTTTCTATGGACATTTTTGAAAATCATGAATGAGTGTTAAATTTATCAAATACTTTTTCTGAATCTATTAAGATACTCATATCATTTTTTTCCTTGAATCTATTCATTGAAAAGCCTTTTACTTCTTGGGGCTTGAGTGGAGCCCCTTTCAAATGTGGGTTAATGAGACAAGGATGCTTGTTTAGTATATTTACAAATGAGGAAGAAAAAGGTAGAATATGATTTAGCTGCCTTCATTCAGTTTCATCAACCTTTGGTCATTTGTAAAGTATAAAATTGCTTGATGACACAGTACAGGCCGTGCATTCAAACCCTTATCAGTTTACATATACATATAGTCTTTCAGTCCATAGGAATCACCCAGAATCCTATGAAGAAGCAGATTCTCATGCTTCAGGTCTGAGATGAGGCCTGAGATTCTGCATCTCTCACAAGCTCCAGGTGATACTGAGCGATCCAGCCAGCACACAAGTGGCAAGGGTGTAGCAGTCTATACATGGCTGCATTTTCACTTTTTTCAACTTTTATCTAGTAGGCTTAGCCTCAAATTACAAAGGAGAAAGAGTTCAGTCCATAGAAGAGAATAGGTAAAGCGTTCAGAAAAATCAGATTAGACATTGTACTTTAATCAGAATCTAGGATGGTATGAATCGAGATGTCCTCCCAATTTGCCAATACTGGTCATTGCCATTTCTCCATTAGGATGTTAACCGTGACATCTTCCCCTCCCTTCTGTCTGCTGTAGCTTGATGTTGTTGGGGACAGTGCTGTGGACGAATTTGAAAAGCAAAGACCAAGCAGAAAACAGAAAAGTTTAGGACTCCTGTGCCAGAAGTTTCTAGCTCGCTATCCAAGTTATCCCATGTCAACTGAGAAAACTACCATCTCCCTAGATGAAGTTGCTGTGAGTCTTGGTATGTATCATCCGATTATCTGGAGGCCTGTCTCCAGTTACAGTGGGGAACTGGTTTCCTTGGGCCAGGCCAAAGCCTTCAGGTAGTGTGGACCCTCCAAACAGGTGAGGGCAGAAGAGCAGAAAGAGCATCCTTTGTCATCATTAGATTTCTCTCATTATGCATAGAATTTCAGGGAGCCTTCTAGACCTGAGGGCCAAATAGAAATTCAGTTTTTTAACCTTAATATATATATGTGTGTATTTTCTATTTATATTATATATAACATTATATTTATATTTTTAATATAATTTAAAAATTATAAACAAGAACATGCTATACTCATCATTCTGGATATTGCTTTTTCTTTCTTTCTTTCTTTCTTTCTTTTTTTTTTTTTGGAGTCAAGGTCTCACTTTGTTGCCCAGGCTGACGTACAGTGTGGCATGATCACAGCTCACCGCAGCCTTGACCTTCTGGACTCAAGCCATCCTGAGCTGGGACTACAGGTGCTCACCACCACACCTGGCTTTTTTGTTTGTTTGTTTGTTTGTTTGGTAGAAACAAGGTCTCACTATGTTTCCTAGGCTGGACTTGAACTCCTGGGGTCAGGTGAGCCTCCTGCCCCAGCCTCCCAAAGTGCTGGGATTACAAGCATGAGCCACGACTCCCAGCCTTAAAAAAAATGTTGAAAACTGGCAATATTTTTATAATAGACTTAGTCTCTCGTGTTTTAAATTCATCAGACTTCAGTCAGACTAAAAATAAATTTAGAAATAGCCTGCTTTTTATTTTTAATAATGCTTCCAGGAGTTCAGCACCGCTGTTACTTCACCTTTATATGAGGCGAGATTTAAGAGCAAGAACATTATGTTGGAAGCGCTGTGCCATAATCTTCACAGCAAGCCTGTCAAACTAGAAAAAGCACATTTGAACATAACTCAAACTGCTAAACCTCATAACAAAGAGGAATCCATGTGTTCACAGGGCAAGAGTGTGTATTGTGTGACTGGTGTGTGGCTATTAATAGGTATATAGCTGCTTCAGAATAGAGACCCCTAGTGGACATTGCAGTCAGTACTAGGATAAACATACTGTTGATTATCATTAAATAAGCAGAAATCATGGTGATTGGAAGGTGTCACAATGTTCCCTTTAAAAATAGGAAGGTTTTACATTCAAAAACAAGGAAAAAGTTCTGAAGAAATAAGCTAAATAAATAAATGATAGATTATATTTTTTAGTTTTTTAGTTCTATTTCTTCCATGGGCCAGAGAAATATGCCCTAGTAGAGGATAGTCAATCTGAATTATTCAAGCTGATGACTAAGAAGATCTTGGTTGTTGGAAGCTGAGATGATGAGGAGACAACGGGTTGTGATGGGAAGACTGTGAGCTGGGCTTTGGGTCAGATAGGGCTGGATTTGAAGCCCAGCTTTGTAATTTACAGGCTGTAAGAGCTTTAGAAAGTTAATTAGCCTTTTATTTGTAACTTAGAGAACACACAGCACCTACCTTGCAGAGACATAGCAAAGTTGGGGATAATGTCAGTAATGTGCCTAAGTCAATGCCTTACTATTACACGGAACAGTTTCTACTCAGCTCTTACTAGAATGTCTCCAACCTAGCCTCTCTCTGCCTGTCAGCTTCCATGGCTAGTAAGAGGAAATGCTACAACTGGGGGACTATTTTGGAATCCCGAAGTCAAATACATATTCTAGTACTAGTACTGATCCAGCAAGAAGGGAAAAGTGAGCCAGCTAGACAGAGGTGTGGTGAAGAGCAGTTGAGGCCCAGGGCCCTGGAAACTAGTCTTACAGAAATGAGGGTAAAATGAAAGATCGCTGATAGCGCTTCTTGTTGGGGTTTATCGGACCGGACCTACTGCCTCTGAATACCCAACTTCCATGAAGGGGTCTTGCACTGATGTCACTGCAAAGACAAGAGATTAGATGCTGAAGGGCTATGTTACAGGTCCCAGGGAGGACAGAAAAATGGATTTCCATTCTCCTATGGGCCGCAGGGCATTCTGCAGACCTCCATGTTATGGTTACCTGGAGCAGAACTCTGGAGATTTTTACAACTGTTTCCCAATGCTTCCTGATCACCCAGACCTGCCAAATGAGCATGCAATCTCTCTTCATCTGAGGCTGAAAAAGGGAACCCCTTGCTGGGAGCTGTTTCACTGGTAACTATCTTTTGGGGCTGAGTCTAAACTCCCCATTGTATCCCAAGTCATAAGCTACAAGATCACAGTTTAGCTAAGGATGCAGAGCATTCAAATGTCATTGTTTCTCAGTTTCTAGTGCCATGTAGATTTGACGTTGATATACTGGGTAAGAATTTAGAGAGCTGGGATTGACTTCAGTGAATGGGAAACTACACAGACTGGGAAACTGTTTTACTGGGCTGAGAGTTATTCTTAATGAGTTCCATCAGGAACTAAAGAAAACAAGGCAACAATTGGAAAATCCTTTACCACATAATTAATGCCATGATTAGGAGTAATACAATGACCTTAATACAAAAGAAACAGAAGACTGAATGCCAAGCAAGCCCCCAGAGTAACTTATGGGTCTTGAGACCTGCAAAATATAACTTTCTAGTGCACTAGCCATTGGACAGTTAAACTCAGTCTAGGTGGAAGAGGTGGGTGATTAAGCAGGCAAGCCACTGCCATGTTGGTCTGTACCAAAAACACCCACCAAACACCCACTGTGTATATTGAGCATTATCTTCCTGTCTAAGTGTTCAGAAGCCTCCTTTATGTTTCCTTCTTGGGATATCTAGCCACTAGATGGAGTCTCACACAGCTAGTTACCAAATCCAAAATAACAAAACAACCAGGCATATGGCTGGCCCTGGGGTGTCTCAGTTGCATTCACATGACATTTCTAATGGGAAGGTTTATAGAATGTTATGCTCTAAACAAGATGTGTTAATATATGGAAACAGACTGGAATAAAGAAGCAGTCAGTTTAGGACAAGGCGCTGCTGACTGCTCCTGCCAGCACCTTCCGGTAAGCAGCTGGCACCAGAGCCAGAGCTTCTAAGGGTAACAAGCCTTTCAGGGTCATGGGCCGAAATGTTCTGATTGACTGTGAAATGCCTCTTCATGCATGTGATAGAACTTCCTTCAGCTCCAGAGTTCTCATTGTAATTTGGCATATTTCTCATGTTGAATCTTTGAAGGGCCAACAGCTACATTCAGAGTCAACCGTGATTATATAACAGCTCCTGGCAAGTGAAATGAAAGAGGCCATCTTTATAGCTGGGCCTGTCTTCTACTAGATGCCTAGAGGCTTTTACTATAGGTACTTAGATAAGAACAAAGCGGGGACCATGGGCCCAAGGGCCTGGTGCACAACAGAAAGAGTCACAGACATGAGATTTTAAAAATCTGTTTCTACTGTGACCTCTTATGCTAGCAGCGATTTTAGGTATCTCCAATGTCCTACTAAAAGTGTTTACAGAAGTATTTCTTTAAAATTAATACCTACTGGGATCCCTTTACATTTATGATTACATTTAATCTTCATCATTTATGAAACAAGGCACAGAAAGGCTAAGTAACTTCTCTGGATCACCCAACTAATAAGGGATAGATCAAGGATTCAAATCCAGGTGCTTTGACCTCCAAGGCCCCCATGTTGAACCACTAAATATGTTTGGTAAATTCAATGAACAGTTCATAATCTTAGCTATTCTATAAGTGTTGGGAAAGGGAGTAGGGAACTGATAAACTTCATGGTCAGCCTATACTAGAGTGTCTGTGCCTCATTCTTGAGCTCTTTGGCAGGATATGGAAATGAGAACACAGTTGTTAATAGCCATGATGAACAAAGAAGACTCGTGTTATTCCAACCCTGGCTATAGCTTCTTCCTGCAACTTGAAGGGTATATAAGCCCCTGACACCTGAGTTTTCAGTTCAAAATGGGAAATATAATATTTGACATCTATTTTCCTTACTGGGCTACTGAGAGTGTTATAAAGGTAATTTGTTTATATCATTCAAACTCCAGGAAAGAATAGTATTGCCCAATAATGAAGTGTCAGTTTATTTTATAGTCCTGCATAATTAGGAATACAAGTCATAGTCAACTGTCCATTAAGTGTCCAATAGGTGTACTATTATTAGTATTGATCAATACCAACAATTTTAAGTGCTGAAATGTTTGTGTGGTTCACTTGACAGGTCTAAAGAACAGTTGCTAAACTGTTTATGCTATACAGATGGAATTATCACCATCTCTAGATGGATGTGTTATCTCAGATCTTTTTGAGGGTTGGATCCCAAGAAGAAAAATGAAAAATAATTTCTGGTTCTTGCATCCTCACAGGTTAGATTTATTGACATCCACACTTGCTGGGCTTTACATTTGGTATCATACAGAGTAGTTCACAGACATAGTCCAGGCACTCAAGGAATTTCTACACAAAATGTTCATCTGCATAATATCTGTTGGCTTCTGTTTTCTGAACAGGTGTGGAAAGGAGACGCATCTATGACATTGTCAACGTGTTGGAGTCACTGCATCTGGTCAGCCGGGTGGCCAAGAATCAGTATGGCTGGCACGGACGGCACAGCCTGCCAAAAACCCTGAGGAACCTCCAGAGACTAGGAGAGGAGCAGAAATATGAAGAGCAGATGGCATACCTCCAACAGAAGGAGTTGGACCTGATGGATTATAAATTTGGAGAACGTAGAAAAGATGGCTATCCAGATTCCCAAGACCAACAGTTACTGGATTTCTCTGAACCCGACTGTCCCTCTTGTGAGTCCATCGTAACCTCATGAGTCATGGCAGAAAGAGTGATGGTCTCTTCTGAAGAGATTCTCTGATAAGATGGAAAGTGCCAGATTGACAGCCATATTCTCTCTACTGAAGAAAAGGAGACAGATGGCTCCCCAACTGGGCTGCCCACTCGACCTCACTTAAAACCTGTCTGGTGGCAGTACACTCAGAGTTAGGCATGTCAGGATGTAACAGTGCTTCAATTTTAGATTGGCAGCTTCATGCTGTTTTCTTTCTGTGTGACTTTAAGCAAAATTTTCTTTGAAGAAGTTATCTTTTCGAAGCATTTTACCTAATTATATATTGGAGTAGATTGCTTAGAAAAGAACCCCATTTGCAGGAAATGTTGATAAGAAAGACAGACGATCCCTGCTTTCATGTAGTGCAGAAACTTTTATTTATATCTCATTGTTCTTCCGTCTCACCTCTTATTTATCTTCTTCGTGTTTTAGCCATTGATCTTCATCATTCTCACCCTCCTCCCCATTGCTAAGATGACAGAGTACAAGTATCACTCACATTTCACTTGCAAATATAAGAAATAGAAATGGAGAGAAAGGTGTACCTGGTTTTCATTAGCATCACTGCCTCATGTCTTTTAGTTCCACCCCATGAGCCAGTACTTATTGTAATAACCAGAGAAGACAGCCATCTGTTGGGATGGTTTGCCAGCCATTCACAGCAGCACATATCTAATCAGTCTCCTATTTATGTATAGACTATTTATTCAAGTATTTCTGAAAAGAAGTGGAAGAGTAGACACCTATGTTTAGGGTATAGTCTAGACACAGCAGGTACAGAGAAATAAAAATGGAATTCTTGCCTTTGAGAGGAGAGTAGATGTTCTGAAAACAACTCCATATCCCTACCCTATCCTTTTAGTCTTCTACATTAATTTTTTCAAGAAGTTGCCTCAGGAAAACTATCACATGGATTCTATTATATAAAGTATAAGTATAAAGAGTTAAGAGTGGCTTAAAATATGCATTTCAAAATTGATGCCTACTGTAATTTTACAAGCCACAAGAAAATCCATCTTATTTCCTTATGAGCTGACTTGCGAAGTATTTCCAGTAGGCTTCTGCCAATAACAAGGGTGATCTTTCCATCTGCTGGTAGAGTTAGATCGTTCTGGCAAACTGCAAGTACAGTCTTTATTGTGGAAGATCGTTTGTTTTGATGCTTTTGTTTCATTCCCTTTGTAGCATCTGCAAACAGTAGGAAAGACAAGTCTCTGAGAATTATGAGCCAGAAGTTTGTCATGCTGTTTCTTGTCTCCAAAACCAAGATTGTTACTTTGGATGTGGCCGCCAAAATACTGATAGAAGAAAGCCAAGATACCCCGGACCACAGTAAATTTAAAAGTAAGAATCTTCACCTAAATCTACTTAGCACAAAAAGGGTGGAATTTCATATGTTGGTATTTTCTGCTTCTGAGATAAAAGAAATAAATAAATAAATAAATATATACTGTTTTTGAGACATGGATTCCTTCCTGCGCTCATAAAGGTTTTTGTTGCTGTGAGAGGTAAGTTAGTCAAGTACTAGAATTCCTCTCAAATTCCTTCACTGCCTTTCCTTCAGTGATTCCAGTGGACAATGAGAAGCAGAATACTATCCCAAGAACACCAGAAAGGGAGGGTATGAATTAGTTTGCATTTCTCTTTAGTATTGCTGCATCCAAGACAGAATGTCTGAGTTTTCTTTCCCCTTTTTTCCCTATCCCCTTGCATACTCTTCTGAAGGGTGGAGATGAAAGTTGTCTGCAGGTAAGAACCAGAGGAATGGCCAGGGTAGGGGTGGTGGGACTTGGCTGCTGGACAGGGAGAGTTTCCAAGTGTCACACCCAGTGCATCCTCCTTTTCTGTTCAGCTCAGACCCTAAGTCAGATGCCCTGAGCTGCTGGTAGCCTGATCAAGTGCAGAGAAGCCATGAGCTAAACATTCTCTAACTTTCTTAAATTTCCAACTGAAATTACAGCCATCCTGTGGGCGAAATGGCTGGGTAAAATTCAGCCCTGTCAGGACTGGGAAGAAGAAAACTGTATCTGGGGTGAATGCTTGATGATTCAGGACAGTAATCAAAACTCCTTTGCTTGATCTTAGTCCTAAGGTCAAGTAGGTTTCCTACCTGTCAAATAGAAAATAATTTGTGGTTATCATCCTGCTTGTTTAATATGTTACCACCCCTTCTGAGTTTTTCCTCTAGTGCATGCATTTTCAAATGTTTTTTTCCCAAAACCACTTAGGATCTAGGGGATGCTCATTCCACTCCTTCTCACTGGGAAGCCAGAACACCAGGATCTCGGGTGAGGAGCTGCCTGTCTTTAGCAACTTACACCTCCTGACCTTGAGCCCCGGGTATCTTGTGTGCCCAGGAGTGTAGCCTGGCAGGAAGCTCTGGGGAATCCCTGTCATTTTCACAGACCAGCTGCCTGGTGGAGCTGGTGCCACTGTCTCCTGCTGGGAGAAGCGCGGGGCAAGCTTTTGACATGCCACATCAGAATTACATTTACTAAGACTTTAATTACAGCCCATTCCCTCCCTGGGCGATTTTGCAATCACATTGCTCCCTGCTTGTTATCAGGTGCCTCTTGTGAGAGGTGTGAAGTTGTGGAAATGGAAGGACACACTGACCTTCCCTTAGTGTTTGTCTTCATATACGAAGATACATAGATCCTGGGTGATTTCATGACAGAGCCATTGGTCTCCTCACCCACCCTGCTGCTTTTTACTTGAGGTATATATGGTGACCGAGAAAAGTTACCTGTCACATAAATAAAAATGTCATGGTAGCACAGACGGTGTGACCATAATTGTATTTTATATCTTCAAGCAAAGGTACGTCGCCTCTATGACATAGCCAATGTTCTGACCAGCTTGGCTCTGATAAAGAAAGTGCATGTAACAGAAGAGCGAGGCCGGAAGCCAGCCTTCAAGTGGATCGGGCCCGTGGACTTCAGCTCTAGTGGTAAGGTGGCATGGTTTTGCTAGCGGGCTGGTTCATTTATAATCTCCGATTCCTTTTCCAATTCGTATATTCCCTGCACAGTGAAGTTGATTTCCTTTTCCCAATAGCCCACATCACATACAAAATTAGAATAATGACTCCACTCTCAGAACAATGAACGTTAGCCTACAAATGGTGTCTGCTGGTTGGCTCACACACAGTAGAAAGGAAAATACTGGGAGCTCACAACATGATGTTTTTGTAACTATTAAATTACAGCTCTTGGAGTTTTTAAATTTTGTTCCAAAGTTTTTCCTGGAAGTCTGGGACTGAGACTTTAAAATGACACCTCTTTTTAACTCTAGTTGTTTCTACATTAGCAGAAGAAAAGATAGTTTTTCTTTGAAATTCCAGATCATGTAAAAATTGCGTCAACCACTATCACAAAACTAATATATGGCATCTAAATATAGTATGGATGAAATGGACACCTTTTTGTAATTTATTTAAAAGATTATAAATGTTATAATTTTACTAAACTGGATTCAAAGAGGATATTCTCTTCTACTTGTTTCACAGGTAATATCTGAGCAATCAGGGAGTAGAACCTACTGCACCAGCTACTTTACATAAGCTGTACTGCCTGGGAAAAAGCCATTAAAGTTCCAATTTTGGCGTTAGTGGTATAAAACTGGGCCACTTAACCCAGGCTTATAAAAGAGATAGCTTTCCACCTCACTTGCAACACATTATTCACTAGAATCTAGACAAAACCACTTAAAATCAAGTGTAACCAATTTAACCCAGCAAGCATACTGAATGTGGACTGTGTTGTTGACTGTACTAAATGCCATGAGACATTGACAACATGAGCAACACGGTCCCTGCCTACATGAAATACACAACTTGCCCCTTTTCTGCGGATTTGCCTTTGACATCACCTATTCTTTTCAGCTATGAAGCCCTCTTCTTTTTGACATAAAAATATTCTACTCTACTCAGAGATCTAGCTCAAATATCAACTTCTCCATGAAGTTTTCTCTGATCACCCAGAGCAGAGTGTCTCATCTGAACCATTGCTGCTGAGGACGGTGCTGTCTGGGCTTGGAGACATTGAGCGGCATTGCCTCTGCCATACACGTCTGAGGCTACACATTGTCTTTATTCATCTTCAATGACCCCATAGTACCCCAAACAGTGCATTACTCACTTTTATTGGTTAATAAGCTTCTATCGAAGGTATATAATTAGCACATGTTTAAAAGTCAGAGAACAATGAAGCACTAGATGGGTGTTGCTGGCTCTATAGGAATTCAAGGGAGGATATGGATTAAGTTCTGATGGGCTGTTAGGTTTTGAAGAATGAGGGAACACGCTAGAGAGATCAGCCATGTTGTTTTAAGTGGAGAGCCTAGGATAGTGATTACTGAGGTACACACCGTATGATCAGTTGGGACATTTTTGGAAGGCCTCAAAAGTGGAGCCAAGAAATTTGGACTGGATGTTATAGGCAGAATTAACAAAGGAGTCTTTGGATATAGAGATTAAAAGGAAAGACTCAAAGGTGGTGATATCATTGAAAAAAAATAAGATAGCTGGGAAGATAAGCTGATGTTGAGAAGTTGAGTTCATATATTTGCACAACCTGTGGGAGAGCAACTAGAACTCTGATTTGATGTGGGAAAGAGAGTCTGAAGCCAGGTCAGGAACCTTAAATTAAACTTATTTTCTCTACCCTTCAGAAATCTGGTCCTCTTTCTTTATTCCCTAATTTCATTACTGATAACATCAAGTTTATTCCTTGGTCACTCTCCTTCATATGTTGAGAAGGAACTCCTCACAATTAAACTTTATAAATGTCTCTCTCCTCTTCTCCTTACCCACCAGCATGGCAGTTTATTATGCATGGGTGTTTTCTTCTTTTTAACAGTTTTGTTGAGGTATCATTGACATACAATAAATGACAGGAACTTAAATTTACAATTTGGTAAGTTTTGGCTATTGTATGCCCCTGTGAACTCATCACCACAGTCAAGATAATGCACATATCCATCACCCTCAGAAGTCGTCTTCTACCTCTGTAATTCCTCCCTCCCAGCTCCCACTTCCATCCCCAGGCAACCACTGACCTGCTGTCACCCTAGATTTGTTTGTGTTTTCCAGACTTTTTTCTTTATAAGTAAATCATATATAGTTGATCCTCGTTATTCACAGGTTCCATATTTGTGAATCTATGTTCTTGGTAAAACTTTATTTGTAACTCCAGAGTCAGGACTCATGGCATTTATGGACACGCACAGAGTGGCGAAAAACTTGGGTCGCCTGATACACGCACACTCCCACGTGAACTTGAAGGTAACATTCTGCCTTCTTGTTTCAGCTTTCATACCATAAAAAGTGTCCATTTTGCAGTCTTTGTACTGCCACGTTTTCACATTTGTGTGCTTTTTTGCTCCCAAGCATTGCTGTCTAGTGTTTCTAAGTGCAAGAAAGCTTGCACTTAGAATGTGCCTTATGGAGAACATAACATTAGATAAGCTTTGAGCAGGCATGAATTACAGTACTGTTGGCCAATCATATAGTAGAGAAACAGCATATGGTAGAGAAGGTGTCTTTAAAAAGAAACATACATAAACAAGGTTATATATTGATCAGCTAATGAAAATGTAACCAGAGGCTCATAGAAACCTAACTGTATGTCTCCTAGGAGCAATGGTTCAGAATTTGCTAGTTCATTGTTTGCAGTAACTTTATATATACAACATAACTACCATGAATAGCAAGAATCAATTATAGTGTGTACCTTTCTTACCAGACTTCTTTCACTCAGCATAATTATTTAGAAGTTTATACATGCCATAGCATGTATCAATAGTTTATTCCTTTTTATTAAGTAAAATATTCCATTGCATGGATATATCATACTTTATCCATTTTCCTGTTGATGGCTTATAGGTTGTTTCCAATCTAGGGCTATTATAAATAAAGCTGCTGTGAATATTTTTCTTCATATATTTGTATGGACTTATTACATTTTTTTCTTACTTTTGGGTTGTTTGATTTCTTATTACTGAATTGTGAAAGTACTCTGTACATTTTGCATACAAGTCTTTTATCAGATATATGATTTTCAAATCTTTTCTCTCTCTGTGGCTTTCTTTTTTCATTCTCTTAACAGTGCCTTTTGAAAATCAGAAGCTCTTAATTTTGAGGAAGTCCAATTTATAAGTTTTTTCTTTTGCAGATCATGCTTTTAGTTTGTATCTAAGAAATTTCTTTGCTTAACACAAGGTCACAAATACAGTATGAGGTATGGATCAGTGGGGTGCTTTTGTGGGGTTGACTGGGGAGAGAACACATGGATATCCAGTTGTGCCAGGACCATTTGTTAAAAAGACTATCCTTTCTCTACTAAATTTTCTTAGTGCCTTTATTGAAAATAAATTGACCACAAATATGTATGGTATTATTGCTGGACTTTCCAAACTGTTGTATTAATCTGTTTGTCTCTATGGTATCATGGTAATCCTAGCCTCTTAGAACGAGTTGGGAAGTAGTCAGCCATCTGGGTCTGGAGTTTTCTATGTGAGAAGGTTCTTAACTGTTATTATAATTTTTTAATAGCTATAGGGATATTCCACTTATCTCTTTATAATTCCTTTCTACTTTGGGTTCATTTTATCCTTATTTTAGTTTCTTAAAGTAGAAGCTGAAGTCATTAATTTGAGCTTTCAGTGCTATAAATTTTCCTCTAAGTCTTGCTTTAGCCATATCCCATAAATCTTGTTATGCGTGTTTTCATCGTCTTCCAATTCCTTCATTTTCCCTTTGACCCACAAATTATTTAGGTGTGTGTTATATAGTTTCCATGTATTTGGGGATTTTCCAGATATCTTTTTCTTATTGATTTCTAATTTCATTCCATGTGATCAGGCAACATACTTTGTATAACGAACTTTTTAAATTTATTGAGACTAGGGTATGGTATCTTGGTAAATATACACATGACTGTAATGTTCTGTTGTTGGATAGAATAGTCTATGAATGACAATTAGGTCAAATCAGTTGATAGTGTTGGCCAGTTTTTATCTTTACTGATTTTATGTTTACTTTTTTTAATCAATTATTGATGGATGGTTGTTGAACTCTTTGATTATAGATACAGATTTGTCTATTTCTTCTTATAGTTCTATCAAGTTTTGTTCCACGTATGTTGTTTCCATCATGAGCTCTTTCTGCTCATTTAGTATATCTTCTTGATGAACTGACCTTTTTATCGTTATGGAAATGACTCTCTTTATTCCTTTGCTCTGAAATCCACTTTATCTGATAATAATATAGTCACTTTAACTTCCTTTTTTATTAGTTAGCATAGTATAGTTTATTCCTTTACTCTTAAACAATTTATATCTATATTTATGATGCATTTCTGGCAGGCATATATAGTTGAGTTTTGCTCAACAGTTTCTGCTTCAGCTTCTTAATTGTGTTGTGTAGATTCTTGATCTACTTGGATTTTAATATATCATCTTGCTGTTTGTCTCATTTTTTCATTGTTTCTTTTTCCTGCTCTTTCTTTTAGACTTATTGAGTATTTTTAACACTCCCATTCCTTCTCGTTTGTTGGCTTATTGGCTATAACTCTTTGTTGTGTTATTTTAGTATTGCTTATAGTATACCTCTCTAATTTATCACAGTCTACATTCAAGTGACACTATGCTACATATACGATAGGGGTCCCAAAAAAAAGGAAATTATTTTTTGGAGAGCAGTCCCCTTGTAGTACAGGCTTTCCCTGCTAGGTAAATATTCTAGGAACCCATCAGCATCAGTGTACCAGGAGCATTGTTTTGAGAAACTGCATTTGGCTTCAGTGAATTTTTTTTTTTTTTTTTTGAGATTCTTTCAGTGTGTTTTCTCATTTCATAGTGGATGATTTATGAGCTTACCTCCCTACACCATGCTGAGTGTTTAGCAGTTTTTTGACCAAAAATGACATGACCCCCATGCCCTATCCTCCCTATTCACCTGATCTTGCCCCAGGCGACTTTTTTTTTTTTGCTTCCCTGAATGAAAAATGTCCTCAAAGGGAAACGTTTTGCCAGTGTGGGAGAGATGAAACAAAAAATGGCACAAGCACTAAAAGGCATCAAAATTGATGAGTTCAAAAACTGTCTTGAGCAGCAAGAAAAATGTTTATCAAACAGGTGTATTGCATCAGAGAGTACTTTGAAGGTGACTGAAATTTGAACATATAAGAATAAATCCACAGTTTTTTATGAATAAATTCTGGGGTTTTTTGGGAGTCGCTCTTCATATTGTACAAGAACCTTAAAATAACACACTTTCATTTCTCCCTGCCTGGTCTTCATGCTAAACATTTCACTGCTATGTGTTATAAACCCCACAGTGCATTGTTATTTAGTGTTATTTTTCTTCTGCTTAATGAACTTTATTGCACTCTTTGTTTTTAAAAATATTTTCACTGGGTAAAGAATTTTAGGTGGATGCCAGGCATGATGTCTTGTGCCCATAGTCCCAGCTACTTGGGAGGCCGAGGTGGGGAGGCTCTCTTGAGCCCAGGAATTTTAGTCCAGCCTGGACAGCATAGCAAGACCAATCTCTAAAAATAAATAAATGAATGAATGAATAAAAGAATTTTAGGTAGAAGGTACCTTTCCTTTCAGTTCTTTAAAGAAGTTGCTCCACTGTCTTCTAGCTTGTGTTGTTTTTGACAGGGAGTCTACCATCATCCTGTTTTTCTGTATATGTCATTTTTTCCTGGTTGCTTTTAAGTTTACCTCTGTGACTGGTTTTAAGTAATTTGATGATGTGTGACTTGGTATAGTTCTCTTCATGTTTCTTGTACTTGGGTTTGTTGAGCTTCTTGAATCCATGGATTCAAAGTTTTCATCAAATTTTCAGCCATTATTTCTTCAAATATTTCTTTTGTCCCCTTATCTTCTGTCTTTGGAGACTAATTCCAGTTCTATTTGGCTACTTAAGTTGTCATAAAATTCATTTCTTTCTTTTTTTCTTCCTGTGTTTCATTTATGGACAGTTTCTCTTGCTATGTCCTCAAGTTTACTGTTCTTTCTTTCTGCAGTGTCTAATCTCATTTTTCATCTCCAGAGTTTTGACTTGGGCCTTTATATTTTTGATGTCCCTAGTTAACATACTTAGTGTTTCCTCTAGTTTCTTGAATTTAAAGACTACAATTCTAATAACTGTTTCAATGTGCTAGTCTTTATCATCTGTCACTTTGGGTTCCATTTCAATTGATTGTTCTCCTCATTGTAGGTAGCATTTTTCTGCTTCTTTGTGTACATGTTTCTGTATTCCTAAGATGTTCTTGAGTTTTGTTGTGGGATGCAGTGAAGTTACATGGAAACAAACCCTTTTGGGTCTTGCTTTTAAACTTTACAGGGCAGGATCCTATCAGCATTTATTCCTCAGTACATTTTCTTCATTGCCAAAGCAATGCTTTTTAGTATTCTAGCCAGTGCCCCTGAATTATGGGGTTTTCCCATTGTAGCTATTGGCAGCAGGTACTGTCCCCAGCCCTGTAAGAGCTGCAGACGCTGTTCCCTCTAGTCCTTCTGAGTGGTTCTTCCCCTGGCCTTGGGCAGCTTTCTTACAGGCATCAGTACTCCACTGAATGTTTGAGGGAAACCCTCTGCAGATCCCCAACATTCTCCTGCATAGTTCTTCTCTCCAATATTCTGCAAAGTCTAGCTGCCTTGACTCTCCAGGACTCCTAGCTCCATCCTCAACTTAGGGACACCTCAAGACTCTGTCCAGGTCCCTTCCCTGTACCCTAACCTAGAAACATTATCTAGGCAGTAAGCTAGGACAATCACAGAGCTCAAGCTCACCTCATTTGATTCCTACCTCTGAAGGATCACTGTCCTTCATGTCCTGATGTCCAGTGTCTTGAAAGTCATTGTTTTATGCATTGTGTCAATATTTTACTGTTTCAAGGAGGTGGCAAATCTGGTCCCTATTACTACCTTGACCTATTCTTTTTTTATGTTGTAATTTCTGTGTTTTCTGAAAGGTATATGTATTGGCCTTTGGTTATAAGAAAAAGAAAAAAGTGGGTTTTTTTGTTTCAATTTTAAAGTTCCTTTAATGTGAATGTGTGCATTTTAGAAACTATAAGTCTAGCTAAGCCTTGTCAGTTTATTAAATCAGTTTTATAACTAAAATGTGAATGCTTTGAGCTTAGGAAAAGAATTAACACAAATAAGGTAGGAATAACTGTCTGGACAACAGGGATGGCTGCCTGAGTCTCCATAGAAAGTTCTGTCTTGATCTCGTACACAGGTTCCTTTCAGCATAAAATGTGCCTCCAGGGCCTGCCCTGCCATTATCCTCACTGTTCCGCAGCATTTCAACCATGAGGTTTCTGCTGACCTTTTTTTGCTGGTCACTTAGTAACTGAGCCTCCTACTGCATAAGAAAGGAATAATAAAGCATAATAGGAAATAAAGATTCTCGTATTAATTGCCCTAGGTCTCTGGCACAGAAGGCTGATCTCAACTAATCTTGAAAGTCATCTCAAAATATGCACATTGGGCTGAATATGGTCAGGTTTTCCTTTGATACTCTCTGCCCAGATAGAGCATCTAAAATGTCAGGCTCTTTCTAATTCGGGTTGAAGAACATCTTGCTCTACTTTTGTTGCAGTAGATAATTTTAGAATATATATGGATTCAATCTCATTTTATAGTCATCCACTAACTTTAAAAAGTGAGTACACTGAGAGAAATTGGGGTTTGAGACAAGGCTCATAAAATTCCTTTGACTGTCTTTGTTTTTTATTTATAGGGTAGCTCCATTACAATTATAGGTTCAAAGCCATCTCTTAAAAAGACTAAAATTATCCTGAATTACAGCTGTATAACAACACTACCAATTCTCTCATTTATTTAGATGAAGAACTAGTGGATGTTTCTGCATCTGTCTTACCAGAATTGAAAAGAGAAGCATATGGCCAGATTCAAGTCTGTGCAAAACAGAAGCTGGCTCGCCATGGTTCTTTTAATACAGTTCAGCCTTCTGAAAAGATCCAGAGGAAGGTGAACTCAGAACCCAGCAGCCCATGCAGAGAAGAACAAGGTATCTGCCCTTGTGTGATCCATGGAATCCGTCAGTTGCTATGTAATTGCCACCCGTGTAAATACAGCATAGCCCTTGTGCTGGCATTTCAAAACAAGCTGACTCTCCAGGCCCTGCCTGTTTTTTCCAGGGGTCTACTTTTCACTTGCCTGAAGTAAAACAATTATTCTGGGCAAAGGAGATTCTGATTTCACAGTGTGTGAACATAGGCCTATGCCTGAAGTTGATCCTGGTCAGCCTTGAAGATCAATCGGTTTGCCATGGTTGTCCTGTTTGATGTGGCTCAGAAATTGATCATACTTACAAAGCAGCACTTATTTTGGGTTTTTTTACTAATGTTTGCCTGTTTGATGTATCTCAGAAGTTCATCAGACTTACAAAGCAACACTTATTTTGTCTTCTTGATGAGACCTGAATTCCCCATTAACAGCTAGTTTCTGGAAATTTCCCTCCTTAAATCAAAACCATAATGGATTTGAGTAATCTCTGAGCTGAGAACAATAAATTCTGTATATAATTGCTGTGTATACGTCTCTTCCTATATTTGTTAAACCTCATTTTCCTTTCAGGATCAGATGGCTACTCTTTAGAAATTGGAAGTCTGGCAGCAGTCTACAGACAGAAAATAGAAGACAATTCACAGTAAGTAGTCTATAAAAACTCAGAGTGTATTCTTTTCCATTTCCTGCGTTAATTTTGACTAAATTGAAATGCCACCCACTTAAAGATAAAATTTAAGTCAACCATTTGTTAAAAATTGATGATTTCCATTTGTGTCCAACACTGCAAGAATTAGTATTAGAGGCATAAAAGTAGGGAAATATTATCCTGTAAGCTATGATAGCTTATAGGGAACAAGATAAAACACAATGAAAAAAGACAATTCACATTTAATTTGACCCTGAGAAATGATGCCTTAGAATTCCATGCCTCATTCTGTCATCATCATAGCTGACTGTATTTACTAACTACCAGGTACTGTTCCAGGAGCTGTTGCCTTCGATTTACAGAAAAGAAACTGAAGCCCAAAGAGGTTAAACAACTTGCCAAAGGTCACAATGCTAATAAGTGACAGAGCTGAGATTCAAACCCAGGCCATCTTGCTTAAGATTTGGGGCTGATTTTGAAGGAAATGTTATATTATCAGAGAAAGCAAAATAAACACTAAAGAGGGAATGCAAGGTCTTTAATGGCAGCTGTAGGATGAGTCAGATTGTAAAGCAGAATCAGGGAGCAAAGGGACCAAAAGCTGATTTTGTTTAGCTGTAATGGTTTGTCCAAGCAGCACAGTAAAAGGAAAAAAGTCATGCAGAAGAAGGGCCTGTGTGTTGGATGTAAGTAGGTCAAGTTGGCAAAAAAGCTTTGAAAGCCAGGTAGAAGAGTTTGGATGTATCAGAGAAACAGTAAGAGCTGTAGTAGGTTCACTGAAGATCATCCGGCTGCTCTTAGCAGATGGGTTACCAGTAGAGAAGAGCTCCAGGGGAACAGATTGCGGAACAGCATTTGTAGGTGTTCTGGTCTGCTGTGGGGCAGACCTGAGCCATGTCCATTGGAGAGGGAAAGAAAGGGAAACCATTGGAAGAGAGGGAGTCAGCAGGACTCGTTAAAGGAGAAAGAGACACCAAAACAAAAATCTGGTGTCAGATGATGGTGATGTTTGTGGTAGAGATGGGGAGTTTGCAGGTGGGTGGCTAGAGGTGGAATGGTGGGTGATACACCCAGTGTGGACTGTTGGGTCTCACAGAGCTGAGCAATTCCAATGACTCTTCCAGAAGGGGCTGGTTGGAGACATGGTTCAGCTCTGCTTCCCAGTGCACTCCATTTTATCCCCAGCAGCACCATGAGATGGTGGGCAACACAGGTCTCTGTGATTCCATCAGAAAGACAAAGAAATCTCTGTCCTCTGTCGACTATTTCTTGAAGGATTTTCCCCATCTGTTCCTAAACGTATACTAAAGACATAAACATCTTTTTAAATATTTGGAAATGTTTCCATAGAAAAGGCCTAGACATTGTTTATCATCTCTTATATTGATGGAACTTCATTTTTAATGCATGCTGCCGAAATACTCTTCAGTAATACTGGGCAGAATTGGACAGGAATGACAAAAAGTAATAATTTAGGAGGTTATTTTGTTTCACCCACTGCCACTTCATTTATTTCACACTGGATTTGAGACAAACTGGGTTAGTCTTTGTCTAAATCAAAGTCGGGTTCAGTCTGTGCTCCCCACCTAGGATCTCTCACAGCGAGTGGGAGCGTGGGCTTTGCCGTCAAATAGACATGGGTGTGAGACCCAGCTTCCCATTTCAGAGCTGGCTTACCTTAGGCAGGTTAATTAAACCTCTGAACCTCCCCGTCTTCCTCACTAGTAAACCAGGGGAAATGAGAGTAGCTACTATTATAATAATTGTAGAAAATCATTATAATCTTATGCTGATCCTAATAGCACCTACATCTCTGGCAAGGGGGCAGGTGCTCCGGAATTGGTAGCTATCAGATGTGGAAGAGATGGAGGGGAAGCCAGTGTTAGCTCTCACCTGAGATTCGCAGCGGCTCTTCCTACTTCGGCTCTCCCAACCCATCCTGGCCATCCACCCGGTTATAACTGGTCATCTGTCTCTGGAGTGACCAATAGGTGCTCGGGGAGTTTAATATTCGCCTGAACAGTAGCATCTCACTCCTGATTTGGTATGACTCTTTGGGAAAGGAGGTCAAAGGTTGGTAGAATGTGCTAACTTGATGGTACCCATTACGTTTCTTTTTATTACAGGGGACAAGCCTTTGCCAGTAAGAAAGTGGTGCCTCCACCAAGCAGCTCGAACCCCGTTGTTCCTTTCCCTGTCCTCTCTATTGACTCAGAGTATTGTGTTAATCCTTTAGCCCACCCAGTATTTTCTGTGGCTCAGACGGACCTGCAGGCATTCTCCATGCAGAATAGTCTGAATGGACAAGTAGATGTCTCACTCACTTCTGCAGCCTCGGCCGTGGAGAGCTTGAAGCCGGCTCTGCTTGCCGGCCAGCCCTTGGTGTATGTGCCTTCTGCCTCGCTGTTCATGCTGTGTGGGAGCCTGCAGGAGGGGCCATCCCCAGGGTCAGGGTCAGAGAGGAACAGCAGAAATTCGGAGGCCCCAGCCACGGCAGACCAGTCGTCCACCCTCTCGGCTCAGAAGCGCCTCTGTGAGGACAGGAGCCTTCAGGGAGAGCATGAGCCAGCCACGAAGAGACAAAGTAGCAAATGCGAAGACAGTCCCCTGTCACTCGTCATGCCCAAGGTGAGGGAGTGTGGGTGGATGCATCTGATGACATCCCGTTAACCCTGAGCTTCTTCTTAATGAAGACACAGATATTAATATGCAAAGGAGTCTAGGGTATGAGGCTATTTTGTGTGTCACTTGCATAATTAATTAAGCACTGGACTGACTCTCCCCAAAAAATCTAGCCATAAAACAGTACCATAAGAAAAGTGATTTTTATAAAAGTCTCACTTTGTATAAAATGCTAGAAAACATAAAGAAAAAAAGTACCCAGAATCCCACCACATAGAGGCAATCACTGTTAAATGTTTATATTTTCTCCCAGTCTTTTTGCATCCTTTTTTAAAAAGCAAGTTGGGATCACTGAAATAGTCATCTTAGTCCAGGATGCAGCTGAGTGAGGACTATGGGTACCATCTGGCTATCAGGGTCTGTGCTTGGTCAGTTCCCTTCACTGCTCAACGATCCTGCTTCCTGAGCTACAAAATGAAAGGGACAAAAATATGAACTGTCCACATCTCTGGCTTAGTAGCCGTTCAGAGGCTAATGAGATATGACCAGTAAAACTCTCGGAAAGCAGAAGTGCGTCATTACAGCAGTTTGCAATGGATCAGCTGCACCTACTTTATGGAAACCATTCCATTAATTAAGAACCTTTCCCTTCTGTTTTTTTTTCTCTTTTGCCAGAATGAATTTTTCTCATTTTGTAGATAGCCTGGAGTGTCAGATCAGAAGTAAAAGACTGACTGGCATATGTCTTAGATAACCAAGACAGCTTAGGCCAGCCCACAGTTCCTTATAAAACCCCAAAAGACTGTAGTGTCAATATACTTTATGTGGTACCAGCTCAGAAATTTATTCCATGGTCTAAACACCATGGGCAGTTTCCCATTAATAAAATCTCTATCATTTCTATAATAATTTGAAATCATAAACGTATTGCCTGTGGCCCTACCACCCTGAACATACCTAATCGCCTCTGAAATTATAAGCCTGTAAGTGCACACAACATGACGTTTGTTTTCAGACCATTCCTATAAATAGAATTAAAACAACTGATGAACACAACTGTTGTTGCATGGGGGTATGTTTTACCTTTTTGTTTACATGTTATCTATGTTGAAAAAGCTGATATTAAGAGTTACTACTGGAATTTTGACTTGCTTTTCTGTTTCCTGGTCTGGTTGTGCTTAGAAACCCTCGGAGTCTACAGACCTTGCCTCTCCCAAGACTAAGAGTAACAAGGCATCTGTGCCCCTCGAAGGTATTTGCATGAATGGTCAACTCACTGCTGCAAAGGAAATTTCAGGAAAGGCAACAGCAAACTGCTTTGTTTCTTCTGAGTGGGCAAATCCTTTAAGAAATACAGATGTTGAAAAGCCTTCAAAAGAAAATGAAAGCACCAAAAAACCCTCTTTGCTGCAGTATCTTTGTGTGCAGTCTCCAGTCGGTAAGGGATGTCATTGTGTCTTAGAGTCCCTTGTGGTGGTCAGATCATAAAGTGGATTTTTAAAAGTTTGTCTCTTACACGTGACCAAAGCAGTTCATTGATGCATTTCCAAGTCATTTTACTCCAACCTCTTGTTTTCTCTACCTACTATACAAGGAAGGGAGAAGCAGTTTTTTTTTTAAGAGACGAGGTCTTGCTCTGTCGACCAGGCTGGAGTGCAGTAGTGTGATCAGAGCCTACTGAAGCCTTGAACTCCAGGGCTCAGGCAATCCTCCTGCCTCAGCTTCCTGAGCAGCTGGGACTACAGACGTCACCAACTTCAGGGGTAATGGGAAAATAGTTAGGGTAGGTGATTCCCCCCAAAAAAAAATGCATTTAACTTTACTTGGTGAGAAAAGTGTGACAAATTCCAAAGATGATTCTATTTTTCTAATTTAGCGGACTCTGGCTTTGGTTTATTATAATAGTATGACCCTACTGGCCATCGTGTGCAGGTTGCATTCTAAGCTCTTGAGCACCTAGAAGTACTAAGTACATCGTTATGGTCAACTAACAGGTCAGAAGTAAAAGGACTTGACATTTAAAACCACTTATTATCTGCATGACCTTAAGTATTCAACCATCCTCACTGGTAAAACAGCAATAATAATAGCACCTGCTTCATAGGGGTGCTATGAAAATTGAATTAAATCTAATAAGATAATTTGTCTAAAGCACTTAGAATAATAGTGCCTGGCACTTAGTAAGACTTAAAAGTGCTATTACTATTTTGAATTAAAGTTGAAATACAGTGGATACTTGACATTTGAGTTCTACACCACGTGCATAAATCTGCTCTCAATGCCAAGATACTTCAACTGATTTTCCTTGATTCCTTGTTGGCATAAGCCTAACCTGCCAGAGCAGGTTAGGTGGGCATTTATCATTTTTTACTTCTCTAGAGAACATTCTTTACTCCTTTGGCAAATATTTTTTGAATGCTTACTCTACACATGATACTGAAGTGTTAGGAATACATTAACAAACAAAAACAGACTCAGTTCCTGCTGGGTGAAAATTACAGCCAGCACAGGGATTTTTTTGATGCCATGGACCCTTTGGCAGTCTGGATTTCGCCTCATCATGTTTACAGATGCATAGAATATATAGGATTACCAAGGAAGCCAATTATATTTCATGTGATTGGAAGAACAATTTAAAACATTATTTATCGTAGTAAAAAGATTTGGCCGAAAGATCAATACTCTCAAAATTTCCAAATGGTGATGAGTTTAAGAAATCTGCAGGCCAGGCACAGTAGCTCATGCCTGTAATCACAGCACTTGAGAGGCCTAGGTAGGAGGATTGCTTGAGTCCAGGAGTTCGAGGCCAGCCTGGGCAACATAGCAAGACCCTGTCTCTGCAAAAAATAAAAAAATTAGCCAGGTGTGGTTATGTACACCTGTAGCTCCCAGCTACTAGAGAGATGGGGGCAGGACGATCACTTGAGCTCGGGAGTTTGAGGCTGCAATAAACTATGATGGCGCCACTGCACTCCAGCTGGAGCATCAGAGCAAGATCCTGTCTCTTAAAAAAACATCTGCAAGCACCTATACTGCCCGTAGGTATACGTTTTACCAGTAACAAACTCAAGGTTCTGTTAATACTGTTGTTATTTGTTGCTTGTGATCATAATGGAGAGAAATATAAATTTTCATTTAGAAATGATAACAAATAAAGTTATACTTTTTCCCTTCTGAGTTTCACTCTCCTCCTCAATCTGGGTTCAGTGGAACTCACACTGACAACCCTCTGAAGGCACCAACCAAATGATCACATGGAGAGTGTGGGGGTACAGCATTGGCCACTGCTGTGGAGGAAAAGTATGGGACTTTTTGGTCTGGCCAGGTGGGAAGGTGTCATCATTCATTGATTGATTGCCGACTCCCATGTGAAAGGACTGTGAGGAAGGTGAGTTTGAATGGTATCCTCATGATGTAGATTTCCACCTTGTTCTGCTTCTGTTTCAGGATTAAATGGTTTCAATGTGCTCTTCTCTGGTGGTCAAGCCCCTCACACTGTGGGTCCATCTTCGAGTCAGCTGCCATCCTTCAGTGTTCCTTGCATGATCTTACCGTCTCCGACTCTGGGCCCATTTCCCGTTCTCTATTCTCCCACAATGCCCAGCCCGGTATCTTCTGCTCCTGGTACTCTCCCAAACACAGGACCTGTGAATTTTGGCTTGCCTGGCCTTGGATCAACAGCCCATCTTCTCGTCGGCCCTGCAGCCATGGTGAATCCAAAGTCATCCACACTTTCTTCTGCAGACCCTCAGCTTCAGGGTCAGGCCTCACTTAATCTGAGTCCAGTGATGTCAAGGTCACAAAATGTCATCCAGCCCGAGTCCCCTGTTTACATGGGACATCCGGTCTCAGTAGTAAAATTACAACAGGTGAGGCCTGAAGTTTACTATAAGCGCCTTCACTGTGGGATGGAGTATGACTTTGTTTATTTAGCTTTCACTTTAGCCACATGACTGTAGGACCAGGTCAAGTTCTCCGTGGCTTCCATTATAGACCCAGAGTGATCTGCTTATTTTATAAAGCACTGACACATAAGGATCCTGTGCCTAAAGATAAAAATTATTTTTCAGTTGTCATTCTGTTTCTTAGAATTAGAGGGGACCTATTTTAGACATAATTCAGGCAAACGAAGAATTCTGAATATTTAGATTATTTTTATGATCTCCAAGCTTTTGTTTCATTAGGTCAATTAAAAAAACACCCTAAATTTTAATTGTTCAGCTATATAAACAGTTAAGAGAAACAAGTCTTTATGCTAACTCAGATTCTTCACATCAGTCATTTCTTAAGATATGATGTTTACAGGAAATGGAATATATATACATAACTGCAAAACATATAAAAATATACATACCTACGCCTTTATAGGCATATGAGAAGGGACCCCAAAAAAACTGGAATTATTTTTTGGAGGAGGGGACCCTTGTAGTATAGGCCTCTCCCCCAGGAAAGTATTCTAGGAGCCCATCGGCATCAGTGTACCAGCTAGCATTATTTGTGAGAGGCTGTGTTCAGCTTCGATGAATTTTTTTTTTCTTTTTGAGAGTCTTTCAATGCATTTGGCCATTTCAGAATGGGTGATTTACAAGTGTACCTGCCCAAACCGCGCTGAGTGTTCAGCAGTTTTGCACCAAAAACGGCATGACCGTGCCCCACCCTCCTTATTCACCAGATCTTGTCCAGGAGCAAAAGTTCTCAAAGGGAAACATTTTTGCCAATGTGGAAGAAGTGAAACAAAAAAACGGCAGAAGCACTAAAAGGCATCAAAACTGATGAGTTCAAAAGCCGTTTTGAGCAGTGGAAAAATTTTGTCTTAATGGGTCTATTCATCAAAGGGAGAGTACTTTGAAGGTGACTGAAGTTTAAACATGTAAGAATATATAAATTGTTTTCTAAAAATAAATTCCAGTTTTGGGGGATCCCCCCTCATATAATCAGTGTATTAATCAGTTCTATATTTGTCCCCAAAACTCCATTTCAATCTACAAATATTTGTTGAATTCCTGTTATGCATTAGGCATTACTCACAGTGATTTCTTACTCTCCCAGAAAAAGTTATGTAACCTCTTTGGTAAACTGCATCCAAGCCAATAACTGAATTTAATTTCCAGTGTGATAAGTGTTATAAAGGAGATAAACAGGATGAGTGTGATAGGAGGGCAAAGAGGAGCGACCACTTGCCTGGGTTCATAATACACAGGTCAAGGAAGGGCTTCCAGTTCTGAGATTGAAAACTATTTGACTTTACTTCCATTTTTACTGTTTTTTTTTTTTTTTAGTCACCAGTTCCCATGACCCCTAAGAGCATCCGACGCACACACCGTGAAACGTTTTTCAAGACACCCGGCAGCCTTGGAGACCCTGTCCTTAAGAAAAGAGAAAGGAATCCGTCACGGAACACCAGCTCAGCCCAGAGGAGACTAGAGATACCCAGTGGCGGGGCTGACTAACCTGATGCTGTGCCAGCTGAGGGCAGGGTTGAATCCCCTGATTTCCTTGTCACAGGCGATGTCCTAAGTAGAATGCAGACCATCCGGGCATCCTTCCTCTCTCTTTCATCCACTGGTTCTATTAACTTCCCACCATCATGAATCATCTATTTTTCTGAAAGTAATTGTTATTAATTGTGCATTTAATACCAGTTAGAGTTCAGACTCTGTGCATGGTGTCACAGTGAAAGCTCCAAATGACTTTGTGGTTTTGATTCAAGAATCATCTTCTGACTGGAAGTAGATCCAAATAGGCCACCAGAGCCTTGTGGTTTTTCTCAAGGGGGAGGGAGGCTGTCTAGCACTTAACTAGGGTAAGCATTCTTGACCTGTATATCTACTCGCCCTGAGTAAATCTGTGAGATTCCCTTTCAGCAGTTTACAAAAGCTACTGCTTCCTTAGGCTTCATCAGGAAGCCACCTTCAGTTGTGAATCCTATGGTATTATTTATTTTGTTCCTGAAATGGGATTTAGTGCAAAAAAGTTTACAACTACAGCCTAACACATTCTTTTCAGGGTATGACGACTTGAATGTTTATACTTTTCTTTCTATAATTTGCCCTGCACTTATTCTACAATCTAGTAATAATGTGGATAAATGTATATACATGACAAATGTCAAGACCAAAATAACTGTGAATGACACACCTTGCTGTATATGAACTATGCTACCGTTATCTGTGAGCGTGAGAACTGAGATGAACTCAAGCAGCCTAATCACTGATTCTCAAACAACTGTGGGAACATTGAGGTTTTACTGTTGGCTTCTAAAAACCCTACTGTGTTCAGTGTCCTTCACTACGTGCCCCTGCATTTTATATTTAAATGTTAACTGTAGAGTATCAGGTATGGGTGCCTTCTAACAATTGCTGTTTGTAAAAGAAATCAGGATGGTAGAAAGTAATTATGTGGAACATTGGAACCTGGATGAGACCTTTTAGTTGAATTCCAAAGAATAATGGTATAGAAATTGATATGGGGCAATAGGTGATTCTTTTTGCGTTTACTTCTTTTCTTCATGTTTGGAAGAGGAAGAGGGAAAATGGACACATTATGTCCCAAGAGTATTCAAACCATAGTTAGATGGTATGTCTGGAAAATAAGAATGGTGAATGTAAGAATTCATGGTTCTAGCATGAGCATAATTCTGGAAACTGTTATGCAACTTTCTTTTGTTAAACCGTATGACTTTAGGGATTAAGTAGCCAAACTAGTTTGTATTCCTAGATTTATTGATATTTACCTCTCTCTTATCTTTTCAGAGTATCTACTTCCTTCCTTGTGCCACTCGACACAAGTAATGTCCATCCGTCCGTCCTTCCTCTTCCTTTCTTTTCTCCAGTCTTCCATCCCTTCATCTTTTCTTCTTTTTCTCTTTTAAAACTTCTATTTTAGATTTCAAATCTTGGAACAGGGCTTTTTTTGTTTTGTTTTTGGTTTTTTTGGACCCAACAAAATATTATATGAAAGAATAAAAATATTAATTTAAGAGACTCTGGGAGTCTGAGTAAAGTAGCTTTATATTAACTACAGGATAATATTAACCTTATTACCCCCATAAGATTTTTTAAAACTTGAGGTAGGTAGCCAAATTAAATAAATGTGCTACTTATATAAGATTTTTATCAACACTAAACTTTTAAAGTTTACAAAATGGCATCTTTTTTTTTCTCTTTCTTGCAGTCTTCTCTAGAGTTAGATTAAAAATGTGGTTGTAACCATCAACAGTTTCACAGTAATGATTACCCTGAACTAATACTGATGGGTTCCCTATCAAATAACGATATGCCTTTTTGATATAGATTACAGGATATGAAGCAAATAAATCTGTGGATGGTATGTGCATTTTAAATCTACCATGGTTCAGAACTTCCACAAAAAATTTTTATTGAGAAGTCTGCCTTTAGATGGAAACACAAACTGTTTTTCCCCTCATTGTTCTTGGATATTCTCCACTTCTTTTAACTTCTTTGCTATCCTTTTTATTATTACTATTTTGTTTGCGATATGACCATATTAACCTCAGAGAATTCCTGGTTCTTGAAGGGTGTTAAAGAGCAATCCCATAAATGAGAATATTGTGACTTTGTGACCATACTTAGCAATAGAAAACCAATGACACATTACTTTTGTATTCAGTGCCCACTTCTTAATATATCTTTATGATATGTAAAAATACTAATAATGCAGTAGTTGTTTCTGTCAGGACACTGAATCTTACAGAACAACTGATGGAATTGAAGCTTCTGGGCTAGACTTGGGTATTTTGGGTAGTGAAGAAGCAATGGCAATCTTGAGTCTATCATTGTATAATTTAGTGAAAGAAAAAAATAGTCGTGGGTGATCCTGCTAAGAAAATGCAGCTTTGAGTCGGCACTGAGGGTATGTGTGCCCTACACTGTCCAGGGTTTGTGAAACCCTTTCATTCTGGTACAAGAGTCGGGGGTATAACTTTTATACTTGAATCTACCTACCAAGTTTACATTTCTCCATTCCTTTTTTTAAGGTGCTATTTCTATATTTAAATAACTTTTTTTTAATGTAAAGCTGCTTTCTGCTTATCTTGTTGCACTGCTAGTTGTATGTAGGTATTAATTTTATTGCTGCTTACTGCTTTGTTCATATTATTTGGCTCTGCTTTTTTTCCTAATGACTATATTATCTATGGCTATCTCCTTATAACTGTACTACATGTAAACTGATTTCTTTTCCTGATTTTTTTCTATTATTTTTAGAAAGAATATTAAGCTTTATAAAATAGCAATAAAAATTAATTCATTTAATAAGAGAGGTTGGTTATATTTCTTGGTGGGCCTTCTTTGTATACTGTTTTCACTAAAACCATGAATAATTACAATATAACCAACCAGGTCCTCATAAACCCAAATCAGATATTTTTGCTGAGACCTCCCAGAATTGCATGGGAGCTTGGAAGGGTGGAAGTTATTGAGCTTCTAATTGTTAGTGAACTGCAAAAGGTTCAGGGTTTCCAGATCATTCTGATGCTTCTTCAATGTAAGAATCAGGTGAATGCAGACCACCCCCTGACTTCTACTTCTCATGATATACATAAGGTTAAATGCTCCTCAGCATAGCAAGTGCTCACCACCTTAAATTCAAAGCCAAATTTCTACTGTTGCCCTCACTTTTAAAATAAACTGCAAGCCATCTTAATCTGATTTCCCATAGCTCTTTATATCTCAAGAGAGTTGTCTATGTGACACTTGTCAAGTCTTCCCTGTTTAATTGTGAGATGGGACTGGCAGATGTTTGAGCTGATTCACATGATCAACTCTTCAGAAGCCTCATCTTGGGAACATTAACCTGAACTTCCTGTGATGCAGGCAATACATTTTTCTCCAGCTGCTGTGCTCCCTCAGCCTCTGGTTTTCCGGCAACCCACTCCACAAAGACCCCTGGGCAGGAATTTGAGATGGTGCCCTTTGCCCTGTTTCTAGAAGAGAAGACCCAGCCAAACTCCCAGTAATTCCACCACTGCCAAAGCTGCTGGCCCGCCTGTATTCCTTGGGTTCTCCGGGCGAGTCAAATACCAGAACACACCTCTCCTGCTGGAAAGAAGCAAACTACACCCAGAACACCTCCCTTATAGGCTCTTGGGTGGCAGAGGGGAGGAATTACAGCATAACACTCCAAAGAAATCCTCACTAAATACATCTGTTTCCATCCCTTCAACCCTTTCATGGCTTTAAGGATGAAGGGATTAAATAGTTGTATAACTAGTTTTGCGAAACCTCTATCAATCATGCAGAGTCCGCCACAGGAATGTAGCATCTCCTGTGACTTAGTGCTATAGCCAAGATCAGCATTTCATATCTGGTTACAATAGCAATAAGCTTCCATTGCACAGGATTTGCATTTTTCTCAATGATTGTTATGGCATTTAATATATCATACTTATCAAACTTTTTGACAGCTATTCATTTTTTGTGTGAAGATCAATTTGATTAATTCAATGTCTTTTCTGAACTAAAACACTTCTGAAATTAAGAAACCATACCTATAGCTAAACCTGCTCTCTTCATTCTTTCACATCTAAATCTTTTTTTTGCAACTAGCCCATTGGTAGTCTTCAATTTGACTGGTTCTTCTGTCTAAGCATCCAGTCTTTCCCCAACTTGCTGTGAAGAACTCAGCTCTTAATTGATATTAAGAATCAAATAAAAGTGGGCAACATTGTAAAACAAAGTTAAACAATTAATTTCTCTACTACAAGATTAGATATTTTAATTTATAAGAGGAAATACAGCATAAATACATTTTTTTTTCTTTTTTTTGAGTTGGAGTCTTACTCTGTCACCTAGACTGGAGTGCAGTGGCCACTCCCAGCCACTGCAGCCTTACATGCTGGGCTCCAGCGATCCTTCCACCTCAGCCTTCCGAGTAGCTGGAATTACAGGCACGTGCTACCACGCCCGGCTGATTTTTTATTTTTATTGTAGAGATAAAGTCTCGCCAAGTTGCCCATGCGGGTCTCGAACCCGCAGGCTCAGGCAATTCACTCACCTCAGCCTCCCAAAGGCACGGGATTACAGGCTGAGCCACCAAGCCTGGCTATAAATACAATTTTTAAAAACTGGTTTATGAGACCATTTTTTCTTAGTGTGTCTTATGAGACTTGAATTCAACAGAAGGTTCTTTGAAAGCAATGAATTCAGGTGGAAACGAGTGGAGGACCACAAGGGACAAAACCTACATACCGCTGCACAGACAGATTGTTAGGTAGTGGGAAATAGGTTCCAGTGGACTCATATACCAGTTGGTGGATGCTGGAATCAGCATATAGATTCTGAATCACAGCTTCCCCCTCAATTAAGCCTCAAAACTGCAAAAAGTACACCCACAGCTCACACTCCACCCTCAAAAGTGAACAAAGCCAGAGGACCCTCATAAGAAAGAACAGGAGATTGCACAAGCAAAGCAAAAGCAACCCCACCTTCCC